AAATCTGGCCCACGAGATCCACTTTCCTGCACAGTTTTGCTCTAACCCTAATCAAACACACCTGATCATGCTGATCACTGTCTTCAGGATCATTAGAAAATCACAGGTAGGTGAGTTTGATCAGGGGTGGAGCTAAACTCTACAGCACATTGGCCCTCCAGGGTAAGATTTGAAGAACTCTGCTGTATATTAAATATGTGGCATGCATACCAAAATTTTGGCACTGTAATATATTAAAATACATGCTCAAAAAACATCTTGTTTTTCTTCTATAATTTCCTTTAATAATACTTTGATTATTTTTGTTAATTCCTGTCAGTTTGCACTGGTCAGCCCTACAGGAGAGCAGTATGACTGTTTACAAAAGCAGCTGCGAGAACGAATAGAGGAAGGATGCGGAGAAACCATCTATGTGGTCGGAATGGGAACAGGTGAGACGTGAAAACATTTATTTTAAATGTAAATAATATTTCAATATATTACTATTTTTACTATATTAAATAAATGCAACCTTGGTAAGCATGAGGGATGTCTTTCAAAAACATTAAAACATTTTTTACAAAACTTTGAACATTTTTATTTAATAGACAAAAACACTGCTTTAGCAAAAGACACCATGCAATAGCGACCTTGTGACCTCTAAGGTCAAAGGTTGTTAATGTGTCTTGTTTTGACCAGATTTTGTACTTTTGCCCATCTGTCATATTTATTCTTGTATTTTCAAGCCTTTTTTGCCATAATTTCAGAAACTGATTTTGACTTTCCCAGACGTAAATGTCCTATTAAGAAGTGTTGATAAATTCTTGGTGTCTCTGTCTCTCAGACGGTGGTGATTATGGTCTGGATGAGCGGGATATGGAAGCATCTGTCGCTACAGTGCAGTCACTTTGTGAACAGGTTGACGGCGACCTGATTCTGCTGAGAGAGAGGACAGAGACGGCAGGATGTGTCCGCGATTATCTCATCCGGCGCCGCATGGGAGAGGCCGACTTCCTGGAAGTCAGGTTAGAAGAGGTTTTGCAAAGAAATGATATACAAAAATTGTATATTTTTGTTTAAAATCATTTCTTTCCTCAGAGTTGCAGTTGTAGGTAATGTAGATGCTGGTAAAAGCACACTTTTGGGTGTCCTAACCCACGGCGAACTCGACAACGGTCGTGGATTCGCCCGCCAGAAGCTGTTCCGCCACAAACACGAGATGGAGAGCGGCCGGACCAGCAGCGTTGGCAATGACATCCTGGGTTTTGACCAGGAAGGGCATGTGGTCAACAAACCGGACAGCCATGGGGCCAGCCTGGACTGGACCAAAATCTGCGAGAGGTCGTCAAAGGTCATCACTTTCATCGACTTGGCGGGTCACGAGAAGTACCTGAAGACCACCGTATTTGGCATGACTGGCCACCTACCGGATTTCTGCATGCTAATGGTGAGAGGGTGTAGGTGTGCCACAGGTGTACGTACTCGGCGGTTCAACGTTTTATGAATTCTGTCTTTTTCTGTGTCGCAAAGGTGGGAAGTAACGCAGGAATCATTGGCATGACTAAAGAGCACCTCGGTCTCGCTCTGGCCCTCAACGTTCCTGTTTTTGTAGTTGTAACTAAGATAGACATGTGTCCCGCTAACATCTTACAAGGTAATGCGAATCTCTCATTTTACTACAGAAGTTTAATCAACAGCATTTGTGGCATAATGCTCATTAGTAATAATTTACAGAAATAATTTATAATCTATACAAATTTTGTAAGATTCCAAGGACATGCAAATGTTTGCATGATTTTTTTTTTAAATGTTATTTTATGGTATAACCAGTATGATATAAATATGGTATAAATCTACTTTTTATGTATTTATTTTTTGTAATTGGGTATCAAAACTTGTAAATTCTGATCATATAACACTTTTGAAAAAAATAAAAAATAACATTTTGAATACGGCTGTATTTAAAATGGCTTTGAATATCAGCCTAATCGGACCAAACCTGTTTTTTTAATAAAGCATAAATTGCAGTTACAGTAATGCACTTTGAAAGTAAATGGGACAAGCGTTCCAGAGGGTTTAATAAATTTTAAGTTTGTATTTTAGCTAAAACACACATAAATGATTATTTTAAATAACTTTTTTAATTTTTTTTCGGTGTAAAGTTTTGTAAATTCTACGACTTCTCTCTGTGGATGAACTTACGCACTAGTGGCATAATTCCTGCGTGTTTTTGCAATACTGTATACGCAAGGATACTTTCTGGTATCGTGCAAATGTTTTTTGGAGTTCTGAAGTTACAAGATACAATATAACTAAATTAAAGTAAAAATTATATCCTGTTTTAATCAACAATATCCCACAAATGCTGTCGAAAGTTAATGTGAATTATCATCAACCCAGCCATTCAGCCCTCGATGTATGTTTTTTTTTTACAATATAATCTGTTATTATGTTAATAATAATATATGCTCTTTCCGCATCACATTTTCATTCTTTTAACATTTCCTTTGGGCTGCATGTAATATTCATCTCCAAACGTTCACAGACAGTTACACCCCTTGAAATTTCTCAACCCTTTTCATCCCCAATACACCAAAAACATCCTTTTCTCTTCTCTTCTGTCTATGGCTCAGTGCGGTAGACAGCAGGGGGCGAGGAAACACTTTGTAAAGATTGAAACAGAGAATGCGGAGGGAAAAAAAGTTAAAAGGACTAGAAAACAGTGTGAAGGGAAGGTAAAACGGTTTAAAGCACAATAAGGTCAAACTCTTTAAGCTTCTTAAAATTTTAATTTGCTGTAGTGTAAATCACAGAGGTATTAAGAGCATTACTTTCAAGACTATAAAAGACATTAGAGTCTGTAATGAATTAGGCTGGTTTATTTCATGAACAATATTTGAATGAGACAAATCACCTCTGAAAAGCTCACGACTCTTTCATTTAGACTTAACGGTTAATTCATTTTTCCATTAATGGTCACTGCAGAGCAAATTCTGGGTTTGTTTCTTTTTAAGTAGTGTTCAAATAGTGAAATTGTCATTATTAACCATTATTGAGACGTTAAATTACAGGTTTACAAACGGAATCTATTGAAATTTGCTCAGTCAGTCAGTTACGTTTTAAATGGCCATAAACTAAAAATTTATAATTAAAAAAAATAATAATACTAAATAAATTGTATCTACCAAAACTAAAGCAAAAGAAGCTTTAACTGATAAACACAAAAGATAACTGTATTACATTTTTAATGTATTTATCTTCTGAATTTGAGGTTTTATTTGAGGTTTTAATAAGAAGAAAATTAAGAAAAAAAAAAACAAAACCCTGGGATAGAAAAATCTAAACTATTGACCACCAAGACCTACCCATGGATCTAAATATTTGGATTTCATCTTCTCTTTCAATTTAATTTACTGAAATTTGCTCAATCAAGTCTTTAAAGGTGGGGTAAGCGATTTCTGGTAGCCAATGTTGTCATTTGAAATCACCAAAACAAACACGCCCCTACCCCAAAAGGGTCTCGCCCCTATTTTGATAGCTCCGCCCCACACATACGTACGCAACCCAGGCAACTTTACAACTGTCTATTGTAATATACCTGCACATACAATTGTCAATTTATATATTGTTATTCCTTATTTACTTGTTCTATTTTTTATTCTTCTTTTATTATCTGTGTTTTTTGTTCTGTCGCTGTCATTCTGTTGCACTGCGGAAGCTTCTGTCATGAAAACAAATTCCTCGTAT